TCAATTGTGTTAACACCATATATTATGTGTTTGTGCATAACGTACACATACACATATATGTAGCTGTATAGTAATAATTTTAGCACAAATACAAAAACTAGGGTATCATATTCTTTTTATGTTCGGGTACATAAAAATATGTCTGCGGTTTTTATAAATACATATTTAAATATTTATGAACTTAAATATTTTGTGTTCAATACCTAAAAATTATCATGCAAATCGTATACAAACATGAGTAATATATTATACATAAATATTAATAATCCCTAGTTCAAGGAGCGAAATGGGAGCAAAATAATTGTAATTTTAATTCATATTTATAATAATTATTGTTATTATTAAGGTCGATGATAATTCTTTATTGAAATTGGTTGAATTAATTATTGCTGATAATATTCTTACATAAAATGGAACTGAAAACACATACATATAAATAAAAGATTAAGGTTCATTGGTTATAAAAAAAAATTAATTTTTTTTTAAAATAGACCAATTAAAAATAATGTCTATCTATATATATGAGTGGGTGAGGAATTATTTATTGATACGTACCTAAACGAATGTAAACAAATGCACAGTTTTTCATAGCAACGGTGTTAAGCTCATAGATTTCAAATATTTTTATATTGAAATATAAAAAATTAAGTCATTTAAACCCACGGTTTGTAAAACAGCACGTTTCCCTTTAAGAATTTAAGTCAAGTGTAGAAGTTGTATTTATATAGCTTTAGATTTAAAGAACAAAATTGTTAATTCTCGCATATTGCCATGCATAGACAGATAATAAAAATATAGAAAGAACAAAAAAAAATGTTGTAACAATGTTGGTTCGAAAAACGAGTTTAATTTAATGACTAGTTCAAAGGATTAATTCAATTCAGGAAGGTTTGTGAAAGGATGGACCTTCGAACAGACTGACAGAAAAGCTGCAGCTAGTGAGAAGCATTTGTTTCCCAAATTTTTTTGCGATTTATGCTGAGTAAAAAAATTATATGTAAAAGTGTATATATACATGACAGAAAACAACAGAAATATTGGTATTTGCCTAGACGAGTTAGAGAGCATTCATCAATGTTGATTTTAAATTTCTCTAAAGGAAACTTGATGCTTACATATTAAAAATTTTTAAATTATTGGGATTCCAGAGCACTTTTTAAAAAAAAAGAAAATAGCAAGGAAATCATGACCTGGTTAATAATAATTTGCAACTTAACAATAACCTACTAATTTCGAATTATGAAAGTTTTTTGCAATAATTTTCATTTTATCCAGTTTTCCTTTACAATATCTTTTTTTTTCGAATCCTTAATTATTTTTTTAATCATTATAAAATATGTTCTTTATTGAACAAAGTAGTTATTCCTTTTTGTGAGAGTTCCATGAAATTCATAAACATTTACAATTTAAATTGCGAATTTTAATTAAAACTATTTTTGTGTTTTGTTAAATTTATTTTAATAGATAAAAATATATAAGAAGATATCCAATTGTGAATGGAGTCATTACCTTAATTTTATTAAATACTTTATATTTAATTGAAATCCAGTCTATAGACTGATACAACCTTTTTATTTACCCAATTCAAGGAAAAGAGCTTGTAGGGGGAAGAAATGTGTTAATTAATGGTTAAACAAGAGAATATACGTGAATATCTACGAAAATTTTTAAATTCTCAAAATCGTCAGAGCAGCGTGTTTTTCGAAAGGCCACATGATTTATGACGAATTATGTGATCAAATCTATCGATAAAAAAAAATTCGTCAAGAAGTGGATTCTTGAACAAGTGGATACCGTGATTCGCAGCTTATTTTTATTTTTAATTAGTTAAAAAAAATAGGGTTATTAAATTTCTCCTAAAGAAATTTTGAATTTAAACCTTGCGGTAAAGGCATTATTATATTCCAAATTTTCAATTTATTTTATAAATTCAAAATATTGCAAGTCACAATTTTTGAGTCGAAAAATCTCTTTTGTCCTTTGTGTATTCACGAACACACATTATTCCCTACATAGATTATGGAAATATTTTTTTTTGTGTTATTCAAAAAATTTTATTAATATTAATTTTTTTATATTCAACTTTCTTAATTATAAATATTTGCTATAAAATAATTTTGAATATAAAAGTACAACTATGTTTATTTTATTTTATCATGATTAGAGTACAAGAATTTAGTCATGTTTTCAGAACTTTAATATCGCTTTAAATTGGCAATTTTATAAAAATATTAAAAAATATGTGTATTTATATTGAAACATTGAAAATGACGAGATTTGTTAGCTTTATTAATCATAGCGTGAATCATTTAATGGGAACTCAGAATTAAAAATAATACAATTGTATCTGAACAAGGGAACACTATATTGAAATTCTGTCTTCATTTCAAAATTGAAAAATAACATGGAATTTAGATTTCTTTTCATTTTCACTCCTTTTCTTTGTTAAAACAGAAATAACTTTTTTTCGAATATTTCATATTTCTATAAAAGTTTTATGTTGACATAAATATGAAAGAGCGGGATGAAAATTCATTTTAATGTTTTTTTTTTTTTGCTAAATAAAATACTTTTTTCCAGAACATAGAAAAAATTTGCATTAAATTTTGTATGCAGGAATGATTCATAGTAGATAAAAAGCAACAACTAAAAATCATAAGAAATAAATTTTATATTACACAAAAGTACATAACATGCACTCCCCCCTTCGTACGTTAATATTGTATAAAAGATGTAAAAAGGCTTCGAAAAATCTATAATTTTGCAATTCACTCACTCCTTCAATGCATTTCATATTGCATTTTCCATTTTTATCACTCCGTTTTGTCTTTTTCTTGTTCTCTATGAATTAAGTTTTAAAAACATGCAAAAGGATTTTCTTGAATATAAAATAGGATAAGAATAAAAAAAGGACGTCATGTAGTGAAGCTACAAAAAAAGAGACTAAAAGAAAATCATTGATGGATAACGATGCCGTAGAATGAATGAAGTTAAGATAAATGTCTCTTGGTTACATATTTATATATCTACGTACATTTTATACATACATATACTGAAAGTGTTGAAAATAGAATGTAAATAAAATTTTAATTAATTCAAAACTATATAAGGAAATTAAAAATTTTATATGTATACAGAGTGATCATACTAAGTATCAATGTTGTATAATGTAAACATTGAAAGATGAAAACTGCAAAATTAAGTTATGGTATTTTTCATAACAAAATTCATTATTCTATATGTATAGATATTATGTAACTTTCTGAACAATATTTGCTATGATTGTTGACCAAGGGTTATCCGCTATTAATTACTGTTTATTTCTTTAATCTAAAAATTTTTTTTTGTATTGACTGCCAAACTTATTTTTATATTCACTTAGCTCTCTGAGACATTTGGTTAAAATTCATCGTAGTATTCATACTTTCTATATTTCCAACTTATTTCTGTCATTTACAATGAGAGTTGTAAAAGCTCCACTACTCTATACAAACTTGCATTACATTTGTTTCCATAAGTGAGTTAGGTGTAGATCAAAGTATACTATTTATTTTATTTTTAAATTTCAAGGTTCCAATTTTCCTTATGAAATACTGATTTTGAAAAAGTAAACTTTTCTTGAATTTTTGAAAAGTACGCTTTCTTTTTTGCCTTTCTTTTATTTAATCGAATGCCTAACATTAGTGGTTATTACTCGTAACAATTCAAACCTGTTGTTACTGACCCTATTTTATTACAAACATTTTTACAACTGCCATAAAATGCTATACTGTATAAATTAAATTCATATCATAGTCTGCTTCTTAAATTTAGCCGTAAATTCCAACGATATAAAAGTATATTTTAAAAATTAGGATTTTTATTATTAAAATTACAATAACAAGTTAACAAAAAATACGGCGGTGCCTGTAAAAAATTTATTTCATAAGTGCTAAAAGTTATTAATGTAGTAAAATTCATATAGTTCCAATACTATCCCGTCTGATAGTAAAATGCATATTCTAATTTTCTGTATAAAACATTTTACAAATGTGCATTCAAATTTTTTTAAAACAAAAAAATTTTTTAAAATATATTAGAATATATGAAACCTATAAGCATAGCTAAAGCCTCTTTAAGAACATAATTATAGAATTCAAGTACAATAAGCATTAAATTGTGTAGGAGTGTTAATAATTTAATATGTCATTCACTTTTATTTATAAGTACATAAAGTAAAAAAAATTGAAATTAAAAGTGCAACTACCTTCTACATTACATTACTTTAACAATTTCAGAAAGTATATATTATATTTTCATACCTGCATGAAAAATTGTTATCCGAAAAGAATATTATGAATTAGTCTTGAAGGTTGTAATGTTCAATACGTAAGAGGTGAGAGATATTATACACACGCATTATTAACTTTTTTGTCTTTTATTCTCATGTTTTGAGCAACTTGACTACCACAGTAATTTTAAGTTTTAAAAGTGAAAGGTTCGAATTTTCAGAAAGAGAAAAATTGTTGAAAGAGCTCCGCTTGAACACTACAGTAACTTCGGAAATATCTTAAAGTTTCTAATGGAACGATGGAAGAAACTACTGAATTAAGTAAATATGTAAAATTATTTTACCGTTTTGGTGAAGTATGAAAGTATTACTTTCCCATTTTATAAAAGTTTATTTACTGGTATAATTTTGATTTCTATCGTGCCATAGCAAAGGCCATATATTCATGGCCTTTATTCATGTCATGCTATGATAATTTCTGATGATTTTGGAAGGTATAACCGTAAAGTAATATAAAATTCTTTAAAATAAAAAATTTCAAATGAAATACAAAAATTAATTAATGGTATATAGTAAAACGATCACAAGGCCACATTCGTCTTAATATGTGGATCTAGTTAAATTTTTCTTAACACAGTTTCTTCTTTATATTACGAGTATTATTTTTTAAATGTGGAAAAATACTGGATTTTCAATATTTATAACTGATGTTTTTTTTAATTACAGCTTGTTGGCGGAGAGTTTGATATGGAATTAAATTTTGTCATCCAAGATGCACAAAATATTAAACATATGTTAGAGCTCTTAGATCATTGTCCAGCTAATTTACAGGTAAGTTATTTGACATTTTTTTAAATCTTTTATGTAAGTATATAGTTTTTTGAATGAATTTACGTCGATTTTAAATAAATAGTATATATCGTGGATAATTTTAACACTCGACTCTGTCCAACCTTTATAGAATTTAATAAATTGATTTTAAAGAAAAACGAAAATACGTAAAGTTGACAGTGTCAACGCTGAGATTTCCGTATGAAAAAGTGATTTTAAGAGTTGTGTAATAATTGCACACTGCTTCATACAACTTTTCGGTTTCTTATATAGTTCTTTTTTATAAATATATTTCAGTTAGCCATATAAATTTTCAGAATCTGGAAAGAATTTTAACGAAAATGTAAGTCGTATTATCACAATCGGTTATGCAAAATTTCTGTAATGCAGCTTAGTTTTTAGCTAATTATAGAAACATAATTAGCTATAAACGAATTAATATACTCTAGACTATTAGAAGTAATTATAAAATTTATAATAGTTTTCGTATTATATTATCAAATAACCTTAAAAGTTAAATGGTGGCTATCTAAACTGCTGTCTCGATTACATCCAATTCAAATAGCGTTCATTTACTTAAACTTTTTTAATTTACTTAGATCATTTAATTTGCTAAACTTATTTGATTTATTTTTGAGGTATCGCGGAGATGGTCGGATGGATAAACAAGGCTAAGAATTCTTATAAACCTAAAACGACGCTGATGTTTTATTTATATCTACATATATCTCAGACCGTTATTTTTTATCGTTACACACAAAGTGACATATTTTTAAAAATGTTCGCACGGGTATAAGCGTTTAATTCCTCTTCTAAAATTCATTATAATTTATTTTGTACTATATACACATAAATTTTTAATATTTTAACTATATTATTGAAATTATAAATATGTTATGTAAATATGTAATTTCTAAAAATTAAAACAATATTTTTCTACTTTCAAAAATTGCGACTTACGTTTAAAAGAGGTAATTGTAATTAAATATTTTGAATAGATGCGCAATTGCAATTTGATATCTTTATAAAATTGCATATATTCCATTACTAAATTATAAATTTCCATTACTGCTTTTTACCGTTTTGCAATTACATTAAAGTACCAACAAATAAATTTATTTTTGTGGCTCTGAAAACATCAATTTTATCGAAAATTTTAAAGTTCTTATTAAATTTTTAATACCCAATGCTAAATTTAAATTTTAAGTTGTGGTCCCATATTATATATATAAAAAAACATTTACAAATTAAGAATATTTTATTCAGCAAATAAAATAAATTACTTAGAAATTAAAATTTAATGCAAATACAAAGCTAAATATACAGATGTCATCTATATTAAATTAAAAACCAACAGCAGAATTATTGTTCTTTAATTGACAACTTTTTAATATTTCACACTTTATTTTTTACTTTTCTCTTTAAATTCTTATTGCAAGGAATTCATAATTCAAACTCCTCTAAAACATTTCTTTTCCTTGTTTTTCCTTTATTATTTTATGACAGTTTTATAATTTTCCGTTATACTTATACAAACTCTTAGAGAAACGTATTTCAAAATTTTAATTTACAATTTTCTTTCCCATTTTGTAAACGCTTGTATTTAATTCAATAAAATTTTTCGCTTTTCAACCCATATCTATTTACACAAAGTTGCCTCATCTATAGAAGCTTAGCATAATTGGAAAAGAAATGAAAAGATGAAAAACTTTTCTATATACAATAAAGATATTTTTGTTTTTTCATTTTTTATTTTTTTTTTCTGTTAGAAAACAATACAGGAATTTCATTATATTTTATTTCTTTTATTATATTGAATCAACCGATGATTGTTGAAGAGTGAAAATTTTCAATTTACATTCAAATTAAGAAAATAATTTTATTCTTTAAAAATAATTTTAGTAGTGACAAATGCATAAAAAGTAATTTAATTGTTTAGTATCTTTTCTTTATTTTGATATACCAAATTTTTGTATATAGTGAGTAAACACAAGTACGAGTCATAGTTATAGTAAAGTTATAAACTTATACATACATACAATATTATTTTATTAAATTTATGGAATTGTGTGATTTCATTTATTTTTTAATTATATTTTGAGTAAAACCTTAAAACCTTATTATATCCTAGAAATATAATTATGTTATTTGGTAGAATCTAAAAATAAAAATTGAAATAAATTAAAGTCAAAACAGTATTATGTGTGTATGTATATATGTATTAAAATGCTGATAAGAATTTTAAAGGTGTTTTCAATATGTGGACTGAATATTTTTATTATAGCAACTCTTTATATTTTGCATATTTTACGAAAATTTATGTATGCAAATATCAATTATTTGCAAATGACAAATTTGATTGCTAAAGTAGAAATTTCAAAAAATTTGGATAATGCGGAGCTTATATTGAAGGCGTTTTAATTATTGATTTCCTACCACTATTAAATTTTACCTGTTTACCATTTTCGAAATCACTAATGGGAAAGAAACAAATATATTAAAATTAAAACACTTAGTAATTTTTGATGTTATGGCATAATAAATTTTGGTTTAAAATGACAACTAATTGAGTTTTGAAGAAAATATTTTATGAATTCTCGGTTTGAATTCAATTTGTAGTCACAAAATTATACTTTAGTATGCAACACTTAGCAACTTTGATTCTAAAAGCTTTCGTCATTAAATTTTCCTTCCAATTTACAAGGTATTTTTTATCCAAAGAAAATACCAAGAAATATTCTGCGTTTTATTGAACATTTTGAATTAAATACCATTGCACATTTTAAATTGAATCGGAATTTAAACTAGTATCACATCCAAAATTTTAAAGTATCGAACCAAAATTTGTATCTGCACTAAAAATTTCCAACCTTATTCAATATTCGATGTTACAATCTATAAAGTAAACTATTGTCTCAAGTAATTTAAAATTAATTAAAATTGAACCTCAAGCTGAAAATAGATAAAATTTTAATAAAGGGTTATTTTCAAAACGAAGAAAAATAAATTATAATTTATTTGAATTAACCAACTCATTTAGAAAAACTATAAGAAAATTTGCCTTTGTATGTAGGTAACAAGGTAACAGATTCTCCTACCAGTAACAAGTCCCAATATCTACGAGCATTAAAAACTCTTCCCCACCCATTTTTAATTGCTTTTAATTCAAATTTAATGTAATTATTCTTATCCTTCAGAATTCGCAATTTTAAATATCAAATCTATACGCATACTCACGCAAAACCCATCATTAAATAATTATTGTAGACAAGCTTTCTTATACTTATTAATTTATTTTTAAATTTATATTTATTTACTAACCTTGAGAAAATGTGGTATTCATTAAATTAAAATCAATTATTAAACGGGTATAATAAATTATAATACCCTTAGGACAAATTCAATACAATATAGACTTCAATTTTATTTATTTTTACATAAAAATGTTATTAAAACATAAAAATTTATATTGCCACTATTTCTTAGTTTATCTTTACAATTCTATCTCAGTTTTTGTGAGACTACCTCCTTTTTTTTTAGATAGGTTAAAAATCCTTTGAAATAATTTTAACCCTAAATTCTATGGTTTTTTTAATTTTAAAAAAGTATTTATAAATAATAAATACATTAAAGGAAAGAAAATATAATAAAATAAAATGGTTTTTATAATAAAATTGCTAATTGCAGAGATCAAAGAAATTCTTTTTATTTTATATCAGAGCCGTTTAGGCTATTTTATGTTAGTTGATTTATTCAATATAACCTTGATTAATATTAAAATTAATTAAGTTGGATCAAACCAATGGTGTGGTGCGTAAACTAGCACTTTTCCCTTGAACAGGTTATACTTAATTACAGGTCAAAAGCTTTGCATACTTTTCGGAGAAAAAGTTCGAAAAAAACATTAATAATTATAATGGTTGAATTCGGCGATTAATTACGGAAGTTACCGTTTTGTTTTACTTTTATAAAATTCTAAAAAGCTTATAATTTCGGAAACATAATGGGCCGACTTCAAATTGTAGTAACTACGACGAGGAACAACTTGAAAGCAGTAGGAGGTTCATGGGATAAATTATTTACGAATGTTCAGAAAATGCTATAATTTCAGATTTCCACAGAAAAAGGAAAACTATATCAAAAGTTTTAAATAAAATGGTTTTAAATGCACTTTTTATGTACTGTCATATCAATCCCATTTATGTCATAAGTATAAAAATGATGTACTTTTCGATTTTCAAAAATGTTTGTAGTTTCGGTACAATAAACTATCAGTAAATGGTATATTTAGATGACAGACGCCCAAACTGACGCACAGACTGGCTGAGTTAAGTTTATAAGTACTATTTTTTTCTATTTTTTTTTGGAAAAGTACTGAAAATTAAATTTGTATTATTATATCTAGATTATTATACTAGATTTTCCCTTAAATTATATACATATATGTATGTATGTAATATGTATCCTTAGCCAATAAGAAGTTAAACTTAAAGGCAAATCGAAATAAGTTTTCAAGGCTATAAAGTTTAATAATATTTAAGTTCTCTACACCTTTTTTTATTGAAATAAATTAACTTTTTCTTTACTTTCCATATTAGAAGTAAAAGTTTAATGGCAGAAAAACTCTTCTTTGAGAAAAAATATATGAATACTTCTCACAGGCAAATCGAGGTAATAGTGACAGTTGTATAGAACATGATTACAATTTTGTAGCTTTACTCTTTTTGAGGATCCTAGAAAAATTAAAAAGAAAACAAAAATTTAGAAATTTTGCGATTAATGAAAAAGTAGAATCATTATTTTCATAATACATACGGTATTGGCCCTCTGTTTTGCGAAACCGCGAACATTGTTGTATTAATTATATTAAATACAAAGTATGAAGTAGTCTGCTGGATCTAAAAATAAGCTACAATTGACTAAAAATTTTTAGATTGCAAAATAATATTACTATGAAGCTATTCATACTTACATATTCGGTTTAACAAAGATTCCTAACA